TGGCTAATTAATTTAAAATCGGACCAGAAATAACAAAACTGCTCGTTGCGTTATTTACCTGATTTCGTAATGTGATTAAATATTCTGCAAATGAACCAATGTCCTCTTGTACTACAGAAACTTCATCGAACTTTTGTAAATTTTCCTGAAACGAATTGAATTTTTATGAATCGCATGTAACATGGGGTTGTTGTTGTTGTAACAGCATACAAATTCCCCAAAAAGTTTTTTGGGAGTGTTGCAGAAGTGACAGTCCTCGCCCAGATATAAGTCTGGGTCTTTCCGGATACGTGAGGCGATTGTCGTGGGTCGGTACCGTCGACAACGATGTTTAACTGAAGATTAGGGCCGGTTGTTCAATGTCTGGTTATCTCTACTTGCCGGTTAAACATCATTATCGACGTTTTCGACATCATGCATATAACATGCGATCGATAAAGCAGTCGTTGTATATAACCAGAGCTTCTACTTCCGATTAGTGCTAATCATACATTGAACAACCGGCCCTTAATGTTAGTCAGAGATGGTGAAAACGGCCCTAAAGGCGAAATTAGTCAACGGCGTAGCGTAAACGTACGATAACGCTGACCCGGTCTACCTTATGGGATTTGCGTGTTAACGAAAACTGACCACCGCATGACGATGACGTTGACGTTGCTTCTCTCTCTCTATCAACAGTAAATTTGATATGTTGCTACGTACGTTTACGCTACGTCGTTGACTAATTTCATCTTAAGGGCCAGTTTCTCAATGTCTAGTTAACACTATAGGCTCTTTTATGCATACTTCGCATTGCTTGAGAGTTGTCACATATGGAATTTGTTAAGGGCCGGATGCTCAAAGCCTGGTTGACACTAATCACCGGTTAACATCGTTATCGACTCCATACATATAATACGGTGTCGGTAACGTCGATAACGATGTTTAACGATAGTCAAAATGATGGCGAAACTAAAGTTAATAATAGTGAAATTACTTTAGAATCGACTTTATGAATATCGTCGTTTAAAGTGCAAAACCGCATATCAACAAAATACAAAACCGCGTATCAACAAAATGCAAAACCGCGTATGTGAAGTTGTAGAAATTATTTTCTAGAGCGTAAAAACACTCATATTTCGAAATGGTTTTCTTTTTTATAAAGCAATCGCATTTCTGGCTAGTATAATTCAGGATGAATGGAAAAGGATTGAGCAAATCCAATTTTTGGCAGCCAATGTCAGTTATGCGGTTTCGCAGAATGACGATACGCGGTTTTGTATTTTAAACGATGATATGCTCCATAGTTATTTGCGCACATGCTTACAGTAAATTTTGATGTCGACTTGCTTTCGGATTCATATTTGCCTTCATCGGAAAGGGATTTAGTGGATGTTGTAGCCGTCCAAGGATTGACATTGGTGGGACTATATTTTTTGTTGTCACGAGATGTCTTTTTTGAATGAAAAACATCGGTGGTATTTGCGGTGGAATCATCCAAACGTATATAGTTAATTGCGCTTATTTCACTGTCTGTGGTTTCTATAGTTCGATTGGATCTCGTATTACCAGCTTTCATATCAAAATCTAAGTTGTCTGGAAGGGGGGGTTCGCGTTCATTCCCTTCAACAAATTTTTCCACTCGCGATTTTGATAATACCCCGGCCAGCTGCATGTGCTGATTTTCCTCATGTTCCTCTATTTTAGTTAGATCGGCTTCTAGTAGCTGATCGTATTTCCGAATGGACACAGCGTCAATCACTGATCCCTCCGTCATTGTGTACTCAGTTGTGGTATCGAGGAGACCTGCCTCATGCCCAGACGAACACTGATTTCGCTCATACCACTCTTCAACTTTTTGCTTTGCAGCATTGTCACACTCCAATTTGGGACATTTAATTTCAGTATGGGTTATGCCAACGACTGCAGGATACAGATATGCGCGATTTGTATGAAATTTACTACTACCATTATTGCACATCCATGGAAAAATCTTATTAGTTTTTAATTTTAAGCACTCCTCGCGAAAATTTGGTCCAGCATCAGCAGCCAAATGCAACGATATTAAGTGATCGTTTACACGATATTTAACACCCATATTCGTTTTAATAACAAGTTCTCCCCACTCCTGTCCGTTCAGACTATATTCTTTAATGAACATTATGGATTCAGAATCATTTATAGCCTTCTCAACAAGCTCACAAGCCCGCTGATCCCATTTATTTGAAATTGTCTTGACCATTGTATTCTTCATAAAAAAATTTTCAGCTGGAAGGACGTTGAGCAAGCCGCCACAACGTACATAATTAATAGGCGTAGTCAATTTTTCGGGTAGTCTATAAATTTGATCAGTCTTTGTCTGGAAAGGAAACCCATAGTCTATGGCCCACATTACAAATTCGCCCCCGGCAACGTTCTTGCCGAAGCCAGCAATATGATCGACACGTGCACGTATCATTTTATTCCAAGCTAAGAATTTAACAGCTACCATGGCATTTATGGGTGGACGGCGTTGCGCCTTTGTCCATGCTTGGTGATCATTGTAGTATTCTGCAAGTTCCCGTTCAATTTCCAATATACTCCGATAGTCGTCGTTACAAGCGTCAATTTTATGGAACCAAAATAGATGAGGATTTATGAAATGTGTAATTGAGACTATTTCCTTTTGCTTTTCCAATTTAGTCATTGTTAAAATTAAATATGATAATTTAATTATGAAAAATAAGACATAACCGGCAAGTAGATGAAAAGTGCAGTTATAAAATCTCGATACTTACTCCTTCTTCTAAATTTAAAATCGATAAATTAAGTCAGTGGCCCCCAACCTTGTTCAAATGGCGACCCACCTTTCCTTAACGTAATACCTTCACGGTCCATCGGTCCCTGGTGAAGTGAAAAACAAAGGCGTGTATTCATAGTCCAGCCACTAAGTCGAAACTAATAAAGTTGCAACTTAAATTTAAGTATCGACTTAAAATTCACATCTATTCATAGCCGCATTTCACACTTCTACTAAGTAGTTTTAACTTATACTAGGTTCACATATAAGTAGATTATCTTCATTTTCGAGCTTAACTTCCTAATCTGTAATTAGAAAAAGAGATTAGCCATATAAAATTCCTCCCTTGTTAATCTGTAATTATAAAATAATCTCAGATTTAACCGATAACTTTTCGGTGTCCATCCTAGTTTTATCGATTGTTTTTGCGAAGAAGAGGAGAAATAGCAAATGTAAAAGTAAACAAAAATGGACGCTGGCAAGGAAAAGAGGGTTCTCAAGGTATTTTTTTAATAAAATGTTAAGTTAAAATATATCTATATTGCTCAATATAGCAGAAAAACGTGATCACGGTGGCACAGAGAAAAAAAAACTTTTCCTTGAGATGTGAGAATAACAAGCACAACAAATTTGACGGCTAATAATCTGAGATTTGCCTGTGTGAACGGGGCGATTAAAAAACGAGCTTTGATTGAGGTAATATTGATATGTGAACATAGTTTTAGTTTTACGATATTGCAAAACGAGTGTGAAAATGTATCGATTTTTCTTTACGATATTTTGGAAAAATTACATTTTTTAAAAAAATGTCAATTTTGATCATCCGTTTATGTAGTTTTTACTTTCAGTGCATGTTTATGCAAAAGAATAAGGCATAAGTTTCTTGTTAATTGTGTGAAATAGCCAGAACTGCGGCAATGATGTGAAGTCGATGCTTATCAAAAGCATGCTGTGAAACATACAAACACAGCAACCAATCACCGCGCACTTCATTTTAATTACATTTGCACAAAACATTTATTTAAAATCGCTTAAAAATCACTGAAATAAACCACCGACAAAATACACATAAAGAAAGAAGCAAAACAAAAATAGCAAACTTCACATTTACGAACGTCACACACTTATTTCTCAATTGCTATTAAAAATGGCTGCCTCTCAACCGGAGATCTGTTCTAATTGGTTCATGGGTGAGGTCGCTGTTCGCAGACATTAGGTTCTTTCCTTAACAATCCGGACCGGATCCAGTAGTTAG